GGGGGGGGGGTTGTAGCACATGGGGTGGTGTACATGGGGTGGTGCGATCAGTAGGTGGCTGGAGTTATGACGTGGTCCCTGTCCATGGTCGTCGTGCGTGTACTTGGTGGGTCGATGGAATGGCGGCATGGTTATCGTCGACGAGTTCACATCATCGTTTGCATGGTGTTGACGGCTACCTGGTTCGCAGAGTTGTGCGAACTTTTAAGAATTGAAGAACCTTTTTTTTTTGTCAGTGTGTGTCGTCGTAATTACGACTTGTGTTTTTTTTTATATTTTTCCTGTCTTCAAATCGTTGCTAATCAACGGTCTCCTGCGGTGGAAAGCTTGGTTGTTTTTGTGTTTTTTCGCTAAACATGTTATTCGTTAAAATAGAACATTATATTTTAAATTGGTACTCACTTATTATTAATTTCATGTGGAAATCACTATATTTTAGACGTGAATGAAACTTAGGATATGAGAAATGAACCCGAAAACGTAATTGACAGGTTGTAAATCGAAACTAAAGTGAAGATTCAACACTATCACACACTGAACGAGAATGTTAAACTCTAGATTTCATCACACTTGGATGAATTTTGTAACTTAAAAGACGTAACTGACATGATATTGTCATAAATTCTCAGGTGAACAGTCAATGCAATGAGACACTGAATGAGAAGGTTGAGCTTTGAATTTCATCGCACTTCGATCAATTTTGTATGAGCATTGAGTCGGACGTATTTTACATGACATTGTAGCATGCGTAAAATGGAACTCAGTCGAGCAATCACGGCCATCACACATTGAACGAGATAGTTTAAGTACGGAGTCCGTCGCACTTCGATAAACATATTAATCATGAGGACTATTTAATATTTAACTTATTCAATTCAAAAGATTAATCAAGAATGTTTGAATTGCCATTGTTCGGTCCGACATTAAAACTAAAGTACAGAGCTGAGGCAATCACACGAAGAGGTTTTAATTGTATAACTTAATAAATTGAGGCAATCACATGATGGTTTAAGTATGGATTCCATCGCACTTTGATAAATTTTGTAACTCAAAATACGTAACTGACATAGCGTTGTCATGAATACAAGCGAACAATCAACACAATGAGACACTGAAAGAGAATGTTGAAGTTCAACTCTGGATTTCATCGCACTTCGATCAATTTTGTATGAATATTGAGTCGAACGTATTTTACATGACATTGTGATGGACATAAATTGAAACTCAATTGAAGAGTCAAGGCAAACACACTGTGAATGAGATGGTTTGAGTACGGATTCCGTTGCGCTTCGATAAACATCGTAAGCATGAAAACAATTTAATATTGAATTTGGTTTGGACTGTATCTTCAAATTTCCTGCCAACTTACGCTAAGGCACTTGCCATGCTATTTGCGCAGCCCTAAGAGGTGGCAGAGGAAAAGTTGCTTCACTTTTATTCTCTGAGGCTTCTCTTCGATAAAACTATGATGAGCCTGTTGATTCACCAATGAATTTGGAACTTCCAACTCTAAGTCGTTTCTTACATATAGCGAAGCGATTGAACTCCCATGTTGCCCTGAGAGGGACTTATCTTGAGCCCATACAATAAATCTAAAAACTCCTATACTTATCATAGATAGAGGTCGGGAGTTAGTTATGTTTTCCCCCCCTCTGAACCGCACGTGACAATTTAACTTATTAAATTCAAAACTTTAATAAAAGATAAAAGAACTGAACCCCAACGTGAATGCTTGAATTGCCATTATCCGGTCCGACATCAAAACTTAGTTACAGAATCGAGGCAACCTCACACAGAGGTTCAAATTGTGTAAATGATGAGAAAGCTATGAATTTCATTTGAAAACATAAAACTGCATGCATAGTAGCGAAAAAATTGTAAAATGAAGATTTAAGTAGGTCTAATGCTACGAGCAGCCATGATCTAAACTTTTGAAAAACGTTACCATTTACAAAAGCATCGACGAGCGTCCCTCGCGTCCCAATACGTACAAAGCATTCATTGATGACCCGAAAGCTAGGGTTTCTGGCTCTTCCTTCGTCGCCACGTTCGAAAATACGGAAATATGTTTCATCCTTACAAACGCACCAACATCAGCGAATGATTTACCAATGGCATCACGCACACAACATGCCACTTGCTCTACCTCACGCCACTTGTCACCCTCATAAATTTGATCGGCAATCACTGAATCGGACTGTCCGTTCTCGTAGACTCGTAAAGGATGCGAGGAGTGTCCGTACTACGACCATTGGTGCTAAGCTCGTTCTGAAAAACAAGTACTACAGAGTCTACCAAAGTTCGCTTCTGGTTCGAGCATGCCACTCATAACCCCAAAAACTCTCGCGATAAGCGAGACTTCATTTTCCGCCGAATGCAGTGCGGGACTGTTGGAAAGGCGAACTGTCAGGAGAGCTTGTCGGGATCAACTGCAGGACTTCCAGATGGGAATACAATTGCAAGACTTGTTCGGTTTCCATAGCCTGGTTCATACTATCCGGCACATACAGGGGTCTATACAGGGAATTTTTCACTACATATTTATGAACTGGCAGGGTAGAAACCCAAAGGCGCGACGAATTTGGTAGTGAGTGGTTCGCAGCAAGCAATGAATGGGCGCTTGCACTAGTGCGTCCGACGGTTGACCTTTCCTGCGTACAATGAAAATTTTCAAGTTCGACTGGATCCGAACTTGCGAGAACAGGGAATCCCCCAACAGCGCAGTTGCGGGACTGTTGGGCGAATTCTCCTTCTTGGAAGTCCGAATCCCTTAGAACTTGAAATTCTCTCACTGCAAGATTATGTGCGGCAGGAATATAAAGAACATGCCTCTTGGACCCCACATCAACCTCCCTAAAGCCCCGATGTGGCATTTCAATGAGGCGAGCACGTGTGCTGGGAACTCTAACTTCTGCACTCGAATTGCGGAATGCGGTAGGCGTGGATTTGCAGGCGGGTGCAATGAAGGATCTGACAGAGCGTGATCCTCAAAGTGCGTCGAGATCCGAACTTGTCAGAGATCGGATTCCTACGGCTGCATTGATTTTACTGGTGGGAGGTCATCTAAACCGTTTTTGTGTCGACTCCCGCAGCAACAGCTTTGTCCGCCACAGTAGTCGACAATGGCAACCCATGAGCTTCGCGCACCGTCGAACCGCACTGGTGGTATAAGAGGTTGTTGGGGGGTCGAAGAGGCCTGTTTATTTCCTGTCCGTCTATGTGACATTGACGAAAAAGTCGGTGTTGCGTACACAATGCAAGTGAACAGTGCAAGGGGGGTTAAGGGGGGTTGTTGCACACACAGTGCAAGTACGAATGCGGCTCCAGAAGCGGTCAACGCGAAGGTTCGAACCGAAGATGTGACGGAGGCAGACCCTCAATGTTCTCAGGGGACCGAATTCGTGAGAGATTGGGTATCCGTAGCTGCAGTGATTGGATTGTCGGACTTACACTTTTTTCACTACAAGACTATGCATGGTACAACTAAAAAGAACAGGACTCTTGGAACCCTGAACAACCCCTATAAACCCCCGATGCGGTTTTTTGAAATTTTGTGAGAGCTAGTTTTCTGCGACTGCAGCGATTGGACTGTAGGACTTGCACCTTTTCCACTGCAAGACTATGCATGTGAGAACTGGAAAGAAAATGGCTATTGGACCCCTCACCAACCCCCATAAAACCCCCATGCGGTTTTTCAACAAGACGAGCTCATGTGTTGCCAGTGTTTATTTCTGCTGTTAAAATGCCAAAAAGGGAAGACGCGGATCTGCAGGTGGGTGCAACGAATGATCTGACATAGTGCGATCCTAAAAGTGTGTCAGGATCTTTACTTGCCAGAGATGCGATGAACAATTCGACAGTGCGTGATCCTAAAAGTGTGTCAGGATCCGACTTGTCAGAAATAGGATTTCCTCGACTGCACTGATTTTACTATGGGAATATCATGTATAACATTTTTTGGTATCGACTCTATCGACAACGACTTCGTCCACTGCAGCAATTGACATTGGCGGCCCACTAGCACACCGCAGTGTCAGGTATGGGCTGTTTTTGTGCAGTCCAACAAGCTTGTCCATTTTTTTTTAATTTATCTATCATAGTTGGAAATGCAGGCGCGCATAACGCAAGTGCAAATGTTTGTGAACAGTGGATGACACAAGCTTGCAAGCGGTTTGAACGGATGATCTGACAGAGCTTGGCACTCGTAGTCAAGATCGCCACGACTGCATTGATTGAGTCTCTAATTCGGACATTCATCACTGCTAGGCCATGTTCGAAATAAATGAAACATGCCTCTTTGACC